TCATCACGGTGATAGACAATATCATCATACTCATCAACATCATCATACTCAGGGCCTAGATATACTGGTATTTACAGCATTTCCGTGGTTATTCGTTTTTATCTCTTTAAAGAAGGACCATGCAGACCCGAGCGCCAGAACGACCTAAAATACAGTCATCATCATCATCATACTCATCAACATCATCTTACTCATCAACATCATCATTGACCTGGGGGGGGGGGGTGGGGGGGGGGCTAATCGCGAGCATGTTTGACATCATCATGGCATGACTTTCACTTGAGCCGATAAAACCCACGATCCAGGGCGCTCGGCTCACAACGACATGCGCATGCGGAAATGACGTCCCTGCCGTGTGTTTCGGACATGCATGCACCAAAAAACACAGCGTCAAATACACGCAAAGCGCGTACTACTACTACTACTATTGCTACTACTACTATTGCTACTACTACTACTACTACTACTACTACTACTACACTACTACTGCTACTACTACTACTACTACTACTACTACCGCTACTACTATCTGTACGACTTCTCTTGCACAAGCCCCAAAGTCAACTGTCCAAAAGACGCACAAATTGGAGAAGAAAGCTTCCATCCATACACCTCGGAACCCGTGAAAACACTGGCAGGCGTGTGACTTTTGTTACTACTTCAGTGTGCTCGTGGGTTCAATCTCAAGAAAAAGACACATGCGTAAACCACATTTACCACAAAATGCTGGTATTGTGGGATAAATGCTTTGCTTGCAAGATCCACGGGGCCGCAAAGGACTGCGTGACCTTGTTCATGCACTTGCTGCAAGAGTTCTGACTGTCCAGATTTTTTATGGTTTGGATCTCGGGCGACAGTTGAGTCCATGCGGCTGCTAATCTAGTTGTAATTTGTTTTGCTTCTATAGCTAAAGCCTTCAACCATTTCCAGTAAGTTTTTTGATTTTTTGGAAGCCATTGGGATGAAACCCTGAACCTGCAACGAAGATGTTGGGGTGGCGAACCAGCCAAACTTTCAAGCCTAACAGAAGATAGTAGGTGGCAAACCCAGAAGTCGGAAACCACAAGATGTTGGGCAACAAACCTTGAACCCCAAAAGGTCATGTCGGATGGCAAACCATGAAGCCTAACGAGTCATACATGGCGGCACACCCGAAAGCAAAAAGGTCGTGAAGAATGCCAGGTCGTAAGTCAACCTTTCAAACCCTGAAAACAACCCCGAAAACCAAATCTCAAAAGATGATGTTGGTTGAGAAACCCTAAACCCATAGAGATCGTAAGCCAAACCTTAAGCCCCTGCAAGCAGCTTCAAACCCGCAAGGCCACAATCAGATTGTTGGATTGCAGGCAAGCAAGCAAGGTGCTTTGCTCTGTCATATTGAAAAAAAGCCGAGCAGCTGCATGCAAGGAATCTACAACTAGCCGTTCTTCCGTCTACTTGAGTAGTGTACTTCTATCAGAGACACGTCACAGAGATCGCCGCTTTTTCTTGATCTCAGGATTGGACAGTCTCAGTCCCTCCTCCACCTCTCTCAACGGATCCGCGATGGCGAAGCCGCTTGGAGACCATGGCCGGCCAGAGACGCGCGAGCTCAGACTTTGAAGCTGAGGAGTGCCACCAACGTCACCTCCGCCCTACTCCGTGTTCCTCATGCAGGCCTTGCCAACTTGCGCCTTGCGGCCTTGCTTTCGTGCGGAGCTAACAATTAACCTAAGCACCCAGACAAATACCAAAACGAGACATGCCGCGATATGCCGCACGAGCAGTGTGCGAGGTTCCAAGCACGGTGCCACCGCCACCGGATTATTTCCCAGAGCCGTCAGTGGGCAGCAGAGGCCACTACCAGGCTTGACACTGCAGGGGTCGTCACCGATAGTGTTGACAGTCATGACGGACGTTCTCAGGGGTGCACAGAGCGGAGAAATTGCACTATCAAGAACATGACGGCAAGCCTCCTTGGACTTCTCTCCAGAACAGCTGAAGCGATCACATCTGACCCAAAACCAGGGCCGATGTGCTGCTGCTTGCAAGTATGTCCGCAAGGCAGGACTTCTAGCCCGGCCATCCAGGATATTGAGTGTAAGAAGAGTGATCTTCAAGATCCGTGAAATCAAGATGTAAGTGCCGATCGAGAGTCTCGAGCATTCCGCCCTTAACAAGATCCCGTGAGCAGGCGCGTGGCTGCAAAGATGGCGTCAACTGCGTCCGCTGTCACATCTGCCAGTTCTCCAGCAAAGGCACGACTGACGGCTGCGTCCGGTTCCATTCAAGCACCCGAGACGGTGTCTCCACAGGCGCGACGAAGAAGACGCCCAAGATGCAGTTTGGCGGAGGTCCGGAGCATTTTCACTCGGGGATCGCTTCTCTTCTCGGTGTCTCTGCTGTGTCGCCAGATGCGACACCCAGTATACGCTCAACCAGATCGTCCACCTCCTGAAATGTATCGTCGAACATAGCACACTCCTGGAGATGGGTGGAGGTCTGTGTCGTACGTGCGCAGCATGTTGAAGTTCGCTCCACTAGGCCTCCTGGGCCAAGAAGAGCCTTATGTCGGTCGCGAGATCCTCTGCGTCTCCAGGGGAGTGCATAGGAAGTCAGAGTTAGGCATTCCTCAGATCAAAGGGCAGGCCACGGCTTTCGTCGCAGGGCTTGTCCCGTGGTTTTGTTTTGCTGGAGACTCTGTAAAACAGGTGTCCCTGCCAGCACGCGTTTCACATCTCAGCAGACCACTGCCACAGCTAGCAAGGGTGGGTTTTCCGTTTTCTGGGTCTTCTGGCCACTTGAATGGCTCCGCTTGAGTGGTTGTGCTTGTGGCTTCTGTGGCTTCTGTGGCTTCTGTGGCTTCTGTGGCTTCTGTGGCTTCTGCCTGCTGGGAAGAGAGGCCTCGACGTGGCCGGCGCGACCGCATTTCCAGGGTTTCTCGGCGCCGGGACTCGAGGAGGCCTAGCGCACGCGCGGTGCGCATCAAGCCACGGCGCGTAGACTAGGGATCTCCATCCGTGTGGGGAGACCGTTTGTTCCGACTCAGAAGGAGCTCCAAAGTTAAGGCTCACTGGTGGACGAAGTTTGTTGTTGCATGCAAAGCGCGGCAGGCAGGCATCGTCCATGCAGCCACAGTATATCCCATCCTTTGAACACCCAAACCTGCAATGTTTGCCGATGTACTTTTTCGTAAGCTAGCTTGTCCCTGAAGCTGCAACGTTACGATGCTTGATGTCGTTGCTCGTTCTCAAGCGGTCTGCGATTTTCCTTCTTTGTGCGACTTGAGCCAGCAAAGTCTTGGCCGTAGTTTGTCGATCTTTCCCTGCTGCCTGGTCCAGTCTTCATCATGGGCTCTGCCATGGAGGCTGGGAGGCTCGGGCTCTTTACCGGGGTGAAGGGCCCTTCTTCACCGAACTCGACAAGGCTGTCCACAGCCTGATCCGCAGATTATGGGACAAATGTTCTTGGGCGGAGAAGGTATGGAAGGGAGTTCAACACATTCACTAGTGGCTTTCAGGCGCCTGATCCCAAAAATGGCTTTGTCCCAGTGAGATAGCTAGTTCTGCGGATTGTGGCATTTGTGCATCACGGGAGCTGATCTTTCTGCTGTTTGTCGCAGATGAAGCCCACATCAATGCTTCATCCTTAAAAATCAATATTCGACACCGTGGTGCCACGGTCACGCCTAAACTCATTGCTCGTGCGCTTCTCTATCATTCTCCATCAAGTTGTTGCTGAGAGTCCGAGAGGTTCCGAGCAGCGCAGCTTGGGCTCATATCTGTGGCCGCCCCCGCACTATGTATGAAGCAGAGGCAGACGACTACAGACTACGTGGCTTTGGTTTCTGATCCTTCCACTGTAGTTTTGTCCGGCTCACGGGTAGCTCTCACCGCACTCCATCGGTTGTTTGAGGCTTAAGGCATAAGATGATATAGGGCAGAAAACCCCAGTTGCAGCAGCAATCCGATGCCTGACGCAAAGATCTTCCGGTGTTCCAGCCGAGAGCTAGCTGGTAGCCAAGAAGCTTCCCTAGAATGGAGAGACTGGGTCTCGGCCGTCATCGACTCCACAGACGGCCCAAAGCAGCACAGAAACATGAGGATGCTTCCTATTAATAATAAGTTAAGCGCTTACAGGGACCAGCTTGGATCCGCCTGTGTAAATGCTGTTTTGGGTCAGATGGAAGGACTTCCAGTTGGGTGCTCGAGCGATCAAATTGTGGTCTTGGGAGGTTCCCGGCTTTGCTCTTGTGGTCCTCGGTCTTTCTTTCTCAGATCAGGAGATATCATAGCTGTCGCCTGCAAGAGAACCTTCAGACTTGCAGTGCTACGCTCAGCGCCGTTGCTCTGTCGATCAACGGAATCGGCGATCCTCACACGATGCAGAAGCTGCATCCGTGGCGACCTGGCAAGTCGCACAAGGGCAGCACGCAGTGCGAGAAATGAAGTGAACAGAGGGGCACTTGTATCTTACCTCAACTTTCGGCATTTGAACCAAACCGCCAGCGATCCGTCTAGAGCTCCGAAGAGCTCACGTTCGGCTCCTCGTGGCTTTGGTTTAACTTCCAGGAAGACTGCATAGAACAGGAATCATATGAAGCCTGATGAAGCGTGAAATCCGACAGAGAAAGGATTAAGCCGCACAGCGCGTCACCCCCTGGGAGGACGGGCAGGTGACACAGGAAGTCAGACAGCTTCCTACAAGACTCGAGGAGCCTAGAGTTTGCACCATCGCTTATTTCTCGGTGCCATCGCAACCTAATGCTCAGGTTTGCATTGTACGTCGTCCCATCCACCACGTCTCGGACATCTCACCTCGCCAATTGGAAAGCTTAAGGGTTATTCGGGCAAACTGCATGGTTCCGATATGGAAGAGTTAAAACTGTGTGGCTTCGAAGCCTGAACTCTAAACCATCAAACCCTGGACCCTAAACCACCTGCATCCTAAACCCCAAGCTCCCGGCTCCCACACAAAACCCTCAAACCCGCAACACGAAGAAAGACGCCTGAGCTGCCAAGGCCGACGGGTCCTTTACGGTCTACGACGGTCGACGTGGGGAGGCGCCAGAGACGGGAGGTGACTTCAAGACAGCTTATGTGGTACAGAAACTTACTGTATGGGCCTGTATATGACGGATGCTATGTAAATCATCACCTCTGTTCTAATTTGTAAGAGATAGTCATTTTGCTTAAGCTTCGGAGTTACTTTCAGGTATGATGTAGAGTTCTATGTTGGGTGCAGAACAGCTTCAAGAAGTTGCCCACAGCAGCTCGGCCGAGAGGCGGAGATCGTTCGCTGGCTGGAGAGGATGAGCCTGGGATTTGGGGATTCCAGACCTTTCAACCCTTGCGCTGGATTCCATTAACCGGTGCTTGGAAGGATGGCGAAGATGAGAAGCTATGGCTGGGGTAAGCACCATGAGGCCTGGCCCTGGATCGCGAGACACAAGCGGAGACGTCTAAACCTCTCGTGTTCTTTGTGGCAGACCTTCGAGCGTGGCTGCAATGCCCGTGGCCGGCTGCAGGAGTGCTTGGGTTTTGTCCAGATGTGCGTGTCCCAGCTGTGTGGTGTATCTTACTGCCCCTGTTTGTGTTTCAGGTGCCGCGTGTGCCGGGGCACTTGGAGCTCATGGCCGGGGGTGGTGATCAGACGCTGAACCCAAGGAGCGGCAACGGCCGAGTTCGTGTCGGGTTGGGTTGCTGCATGGTGCATCGAGGATGACCAACGTCAGTCACACCATCAAGCATTTGTCCTTCTCGGATGCAGAGGATGACACGTACAGCCGCAAGGCAGCGGAATCACGGACATGGAGCTCAAGCCTAGAGATTCAAAGTTCCAGGTGACCAGAAAGATTCAGCCCCCAAGCTCACTGCAATGCCGACCGATCGACTGTTTCAAGTCCTTCAGCTTTTGAAGCAACGACACCAACAGGCAACCAAGTAGTAGATGCGCAGTCTGCGAATATCCCCCATGCAGAATGGGTGGTGTGTGCTGATGTATACAAGGCCATTCAAACTGCACAGCGAGTGGTATCATGCCAGCTCGTCACCGATGATGTGTCACACTTGCGGCTCAAGGAGTGCCAAAAGCCCGTGCTGAACCATCACTCGACCCTCTGCACTCCTTTCCATCCTTCAGACGCCGCTTCTGGCAGCGCGCTTGCTCCAGCAGGTGCCCTGCAAATGCGTGTTGCCGAACAGGTTCAGTCAGATCTTTACTTATTTTGCAGGCTCATCGCTGTCCCGATGCTGTGAGTCAAAAGGATGAATCTGACTCCTTGTCAAAGGTTATCGCAAACACAGCCTTGAGGTGTTGAGGATTTGTCGAGGTGTTGGGAGAGACGTTCAGGGCACCTCTGCTTGTACTGGCAGGGCTGGAAACACTTCCCTGGCGAGGCCTGGTGCCGAGTCAAGTGCAGGGTCAGTTTCCGATGATGTAAGCCTCTTCAGTGCCTGAGGTCACCCGAAACCTGGCACCATTGGATGGTCGCAAGTTCGTGCAGGAGCCCCAAGCTCTCGAGGGCAGCTGCTGTGTGCAGGGAGTTTAAAGTTGTCAGCCACATCCGATAGTGTCCTTGGAAGGCTTGCTTCCTGCAGCTGTAATTGGTCGATGCGCGCCAAGGACTAGCGGCTTTCATCAGGCTTACATCCATGACTTGAAGGCAGCGGGGCAGGTGGAGGATGGAGGGATTTGAAGAATCTAAAGCTATGGAGTAGGACCACGCGAGATGCTCGCAGGTGGTGAGCACCGTCGCAGGGAAGGAGACGACCTACCAGTTTCAGCACCAGGCGCTTAAAGGTTCGCAACCGTTGTGGGTGTAGACTTCCCGTGCTAGGCTCGGATATCGAGACTGTCCGAGGCCGCCATACCTCAGGCGCCATTGCAGCTGACCGATGCTTGTAACTGCCGGTGAGGTGCTATTCTTGTCCACAAAGCCTGGTCTCTCGCAGGCGCAGTTCCACTACGACATCGAACCGCTGCTTGGCTAGTCGCACTTGTTGTTGCAAGTCGTCACGGGGCAAGTTGTGCATGGAACGAGTGAGTCAAGACACAGTCTGGCCTCCACCGCAAGTCAAGCTGGTAGAGAAGGGAGGCACCTGGTGAATGCGAGGTATCGTCAACGGCTTTCTTGGCACATTGAATTTCAATCATGTCGCAAAACATTCAAGCTTGTCTCAACTGACGGAGCCACCAATGACGACGACGAAGAGTATTCTCATCATCTCCTCCTAGCCGGACTTCAACGATTGTACAGTGTGCACGGATAGGGTAGAGAATGCATGGATTGCAGACTCGGCTTTGCAGCTCTGCCAAGGTTTTCCATCCATGTGAAAACGGATGAGAAGAGATGGCACCTCCCCCTGATGGCATTTGCAGATGTTGAACCAGCCTGCTGGTAGGGGCCATGCATGATGCAGCAACCGTTGGCTCCTTGTCACCTATAGCTTTGCTGCTACCTTGGGCTCTGCTGTGTCAGTCGAGAACATGGACGATGGCTCCGCTATGTTAATGGAAATACCATCAGCCAACCCCTCTTTGAGAAAGCAAACTTAAACTCAAGTCTACGTGTTCACAGGACAAGAAGCAGTGCATGAATAGGACTGAATGGACTTACAGTAACTTCTCGTTTCCTCTCTGCCAATCCGCCAACTACTCCGACACACTCTTCCGCCTCGGCGAGATGAGCTTGGGACTTGGCACTCTGCTGCCATCTGCTGCCTGTGCTGTGCGGCTGTGCGGCTGTGCGTGTCTGGGAGCGTCTCGCCTGTCTTCCTGTCAATTCAATTCTTTGTGGCAGGGACGACGTCTATGGATATCGGCAAGGCTTTCAGCTTGCGAAGCCTGCTCCTTAGCACCCTTAGGCCCTGTAGGCGCGACAACCGCGGCATGCAGCTTTCTGAGCTCCAAGGCTATTCGGACACCCGGCTCCGTGACTACAACGTAACCCAGAGCCAGCCGCGAGTCTGCGGTTTCGGGCTGTCGGCTGTTCTGCGTGCTTTCAGCATGTGCCCGTCCGCCGTCGCCTGGTTGAGGTCTTCGTTCTCGAAGATGCCCGGTCGCAGCCCCGAGAAAGATATAGTCACTGCATTGCATGGCACTCTGTGGCTTCGCTTCTGCTTCGGATAGATTTTGGAGCTGCTGCCACACTCGTCTCACTGGGTGGAGGGATCCGTAAAAATGCTAGGGAGGGGCGGAGGGCGACGGGCTTTGCAGCGGTTCAGGTCTCACGGAGTCTTGGGCGGTGCTAGATCCTCGACTGCACCTGGAGTGGTCCCTGTATGCCCTTGCCCTTGTCATCCTCTGCAACCTGTCGCCTGGCGGCCTGGCGGCATTGAATCGAAGGATATTGCAGAGAAGGAGCCCATGGTCAAAGCCTTGCGGCGATCTTCAGCAGCTTGCTTAATCCTAGCCTTGAATATGGAAACGTGCGTACATCCAACATGCCTGGATTTTGTCAGATCAAGCTCGGTTTCGCGAAGCCGAACTTCAACTCAACGAGCAGCAGGGGACTCGACATGGCAGGAAAGGACTTTTTTTGGAAGCTCAGAGTCTGTAGCCGCTGTAGCCTGAGCTGGGAGGTGCTTACGCGAGGTTTCTTTCGCGTTTTGGAGTCAGGAGTTACACAGTTAGAATCTAACAACATCTGATGTTGTTGGTCCAGCCGTTGTACGTCTTTTGCTTTGGTCGCTGCTGAGGACTTGATTTCCGGCCCTTCACCCAAGCAGAGCAAGGCTGGTCTTATCGGAGGTCCTCGAAGAAGCTGAAGTTTCGCTGAGTTTCTGGTGAGGCGCTTCCCAAGGCGCCATGGACCCTGCGGTCGTGGACTCACTGGACTGATAGCGAAAGACTAGCCTTTTTTGTAACTCTCATAGTACCCCTCATTATCATAACCACTCAGAGTAACCAGCCATTGTAGCGATTTGGCCTAGGCAAAGGCAGATCTGCGAGCCGTGCACTACCGGCTTGGTCTGCGTCCCAGGGGGCCTCCGTAGAAAGAGCCCAGGTTTAGGGCGATTAGGGTCCGCAACCAGCAGGCGTGTTCCGGCAGTCCAATGTCAGGTGAAGATGGGCCAAGCAGGGCGAACTACGCGCCTTGGCTAACGGCTCTTGCTTTCGCAGAGGCTTAGGGCATCTTCGGGCTTACACAGAGGACAGGCTAATGGGGGGTTGCGATTTGCAACTTCACCCCGTCAAGTCGAAGGCTGCTTGGGACCTCTGCATCCTTTCGGGACGGAGCCCGGGACCGGAAATGTAGGAAAACACAGCGTAGAGGTTTTGGCATGTTTCGCAGGCCTTGACGTGGTTCATAGCTTCTGCTTCCAGGACATGACTTCCTGACCACGATTCCAAGCTTCATGTGTGTTATGTGACTCATGCCACAGATGCTCAGGTTGCGAGTTTTGTACCAGCGGTAAGAGAGGGGGCTGAAACCGATTGTAGGCTTGCAATCGATTTAAGATGCCTTGAAGCTTGACTGTACTAGAAAAGCGAGTGTTGTCTGTACAAGTTACTCAGCCGTTTTGAGGTTTCGCGCATCATTGTACAGGTGCGAGAACTGCTGTGCAATTGCAGACGATTGTAGCCCTCCTTGATTGTTGCCTCCTGCCTCCTAGGTGTGGTATGAGTCAGAGCTAGACCGCTGCGCTAAGCCGGGGCCCTGGAGTGGGCTTTGTTCGAGTCGGGTTCGTTTTCTGGCTTTGCTCACAGGCGGTGGAGCAGTTATTCGGGGGAAGGGTCTGGTCCCTCTCTCGCTAGTCCGTGCTGAGGAGCCATTGGGATCCGACGAGGAAAGTGCAGGCGCTTTGGTAGCCGTGACCACCGGTCTTGAGTCCATGAGGTCGATTGGATCATATCGGATTTCTTTGGGGGTCTTTTTTCACTTCTGGGCTCCGGCTGGCTTCTCATGCCCGCAGTTCCGTAGCTCCTCTAGTTCTCACAACCCGTCTCGGCCGGCGTGTGGGTGTGCAGGTGTCCAGTGCCCAGCTCGGACAAGCTAATAGGAAGGAAGCATTCAACAGAAGAAACAGGATGCCGCAGACCCGAAACCCGAAACCTTGACCACAAGGAAAGGTCAGGAGGGCGACCAGAAGGTAGGTGACCGAGAAAGTGATAGAATTCTGAGCTTGGGGACAACAGGCCACAGGCCCGAGCGCCACATGCGGCAGACCCGGTAGATAACCGGCTACTAGCAGGGATTTCCGGCAGACGGGGAGTAAGCCGGAACCCATTCGGATGCTACTTGTAATACCAGGTTCATGTCACCCTTTTTTCTCCAAAGTCCAAGTTTTCACCAACTGTGGCGAGGCGTGGCAGCCTCCCCCAGAGTCGCCAATGACACGCTCCAAGTGCACGGCCCAGGGACCGCCAGGAACTCCAAAGGAACTCCAGAGCTCCATGGTCCACCATGCATTGCTCCAGCTAGATTTCTGTGTGTCGACTTGGGCATGCAAGCATTTGCATCCAAGGCGCATCGGCAAAACACTGCGAAGCTTTCGTGCCGATCGTGCAGTAACGCGCTGACGCAGCCTGAAGTGCTGCGTGCCTACGTAGGACAATGCTGGTTTCAGCGAAGGCAGTACTCTAGACTGGCAAGCAGGCAGGAATAGCATGAACAAGTCACCGCGGTGCGGTGTCATCAGTGTAACCCAGACTTTTGCAGAGAGCTGTGAACTGTGAGTTTCTCGGCAGTGTCACCAACCTTCGACTCTCCCGGAATGGGACCCATGAGAGGAGGACGTGTGCCTTGAGAGCCCAATGCCAAGGAATTGTTTGGCGCTAAGAAGAGTTGGAAAAGCAGAATGGGAGTGAAAGAGCTGTTCTGGCTCTGGCTTCCGAGGATTTTTCGCTCCTCTCATTTCCATAGTCTCTAGCCTCAATAGTTCACTAAAGCCTCGGTAGCATGTGCGCTCGCCACCGGGTGGCTGCAATGGCGTAAAGGCTGAGCCATCGACGTCAATTCGGCGAGAACCAAGCCAAACACGTTGCGTTTCTCGCGACATGCCCCTGAAGTGACGGTGCCACATGCACTACCGAATTCCTCAGACAGTCGTGGCAGCGGCCAAGCTCTGCTTTGACTGTGACTCTTGATCGACTGCCTCAAAGTGGATGGCGCTGGCGAGAGCAAAGGCGACCTTGTGTCTTTAAAGTAGCAAAGCGCGACTCGAGCGGAGGTACGATTTTGGCACTTCTCTCTGTGCGGTGCTGGGTGGTGCCTTCGCTGGACACTTACATGACTTGGCTGCCTTAGCTGCGTTGGCTGCCTTGGCCTTGGCCTGCAGACACCGAGGTTGTCCTGAGGCTTGCATCCCGGTTTTCTGTGCACCTCTCCACCTCCCTGAAGCCGCCTGGCCGCAACGGGCAGCAACGGGCCGCCACGGGCGCAACGGGCCGGAGCCGTGCGCTTGGAGCCTCTGCGGTTTCCCGTCGCCAAGGCTTGGAGCGAAGGCTCAGCGGGGAGGTGCCATGAGCATCGGCCACTTCGAGTGATCCTTCGGCTGCGAATGATCTCGACGTGTTAGAGCAGCGAGAGCCGAGGCTTAGAAAGCTTGAAGTTTCGGACCTGAAAGACCAAAGCGCCCCGGGACGTTCAAGAAAAAAGGGCCGGGAAAAGCAGCTTCACTGCCGCCCAGCCTCGGTTAGCCGCTTTTCTACCACAACGTGCAGGCCGGCGGAGTCCAGCGAGGACCGAGGCTGACGCATCCTTCGCCTTGCGGTGTGCAAGGGTCTGTGCCAGCATGTCATCATGTTGTGATGCTTGGAAATCCTGTTTCGAACTGTGAGAGCAAGTTTCTCTGGCCATGATGTCCTCCTTTGTCAATGTTCTAGTCGGTCCACGGATCCGTTTACGGTTGAGTCGAATTGCTGTTTGGTGCATAAGAGGTGATGCAGTCTGTTTCTAAGCTTGCATGTCAATGCCTAACTTTTGTCCGGCTGTCACATCTCCCTCGGCATGCATGCATGCACGGACGGAGGGTCTGATGTGATATGAGATGAGATTATACGCTATTTCGTTGTTTTCATGATATGACATGATGTTATACGACAAATTATGCATCATCCAATGTTATCCTACATTATATTCTATGGTGGTTTATTGTAACCTATACCTTTCATATTGCATTATTTTCTATATGATGCAGTTTAAGTTTGTTGTAGTATAGTACATCATCTATGATTTTGTTATGCATGTTATGCTATGCTGTATAAGACGGTTTACATTATGTTATATTATGCTATGGTATGTATCTATGATTTTGTAATACGTAATGCTTCGCTGCGTTACAACATATTGCAATATCGCATGTTATGGTATGTCATACTGTCATATGTCTATTATACCATGCCATACCATATCATGCTTTCTATTGCTGTGCTTCATTGTGTTATGTCGAGGTGTTATGTTGTAGCATGCTGTGGTTTGCAATGTTTTGGTTCGCTATGTTTTGTTATTTGCTGCAATGTTATGCTATGCTATGCTATTCTAGGTGTGGTTTGGTTGTGCCATGCTATATTATATTATGGCATGCTATACTATGTTACATTAATTCTCATAGCTAATGGCTACATGGCATCTCGTATTGCCTTTTGCCGAAAGCATGGAGGAGAGTCGTTCAGCGGAGCGTGGCTGTCGTTGAAATGCAGGTGTGCAGGGAGAACGATCTGCAGACCAAAGGCGACGAGAGTCGGGGTTCCACTTCAGCTCTAGTGCCCGGGTGCTCGCTTCCTGACATGCGATGAGATGCACAGCAGGTCTTTGCGGGGTCAAGGCCCCAACATCTTCGATGCACCGCTAGTCAGCGAGCTGCCTCCCTCCGATGGTCTTGCAGCCCTGCCCTCGGACCCTCGTTTTGCAATGTGCTGAAACCCTTCAGGCTGTTTGCTCCGCACGCCAAGGCACCGCGATCGAACAAGCGAGTTCCGGACTCAGCAAAGTGGTACTAGCAGGGCGACTTTGTCAACGGTGCCTGCAGCAGTCAGCTTCTTTGCGACTGCCAGGGGATTACAGACAATCACCTTGAATAGCTGTGCTGCTGTCAATGTGAAGATACTGTGGTATCGCCGGAAGGGTGGCCGATGTGCCCAACACACGTTGACAACAGTGACTTGCAAACTCATGAAAGATTCAGCAAAGTTCGGCTCGCGGCTCCTTAGGTGCACTCCATTGCGCAGATGTTGGAGGGCGACTCTTTCGTGGCGCAAGGCCATGCCACAATCCTGTAGCAGATGAGTCCCCACGCGCATGTGCACGTGCACGCAAACACCAGTTCCTATCTTATTGTCGAGACTTCTCGCCAGGTGGAGCCCCGAAGAGGAGGAAGGAATACAGTGCCTGGACTGAAGGAGAAGAGCAGCAGCCTCGAATGCCAGTTGCAGCAGCTGGAGCTCGATTCTTATTTTAGCCACTTCGTGATTCTCGACAGCTCTACTTACGGCCTCTTATGGCTCAAGCCTGTGCAAGTGGGAGCAATGAGTGCGAATGGAGATGCTGGGGGGTGCCCGTGCAAGCAATATCCCGTCACCCGACCGTCATTGCATGCGATACTTGTCGAATCCACCACCACCTTACAACCGCAGCTGATGAGAGCAAGGGCGCTGCTTTTGCTACTCTTGGCGCTCAGCGAGGCGGTTGATGTTGACAGTCTGCCTCCCAGGACGGTTGATCTGCTCGTACTGGAAAAGATGCAGTTTGTTGAGGTCTCTACGAGTTCGTGGACAGTGCCAACTGCAGCCACCTTGGCCCCTGGCATTTCCAGGCCTGCTGGGTGCCGATGGCAGTGGGCTCCGAGGGGCAGAAAAGGACTTGGTCCATGATGTCAGGTGCCTGTGCTGGCAGGGCAGCTGGGTTTCTACGGCACTGTCGGCGTGGATCTTACATAAGTCCACATTCCGGTCACTGAGCTCTTCCTTCCTCCTCTGTCCAGGTGACAACGTACCGGGACCCCTGGCGCGGTTCCGGCTGCCACGTGCCTTGGCGCTCGACGAGCTCGGGCATAGGCCCTTTGGGTCCATGTGCTCTCCGACACTCTGGCAGCTTCGTCACTTCGTATATCAGCTCTTTCGGCAGGCTCTTCGTCTCAGATGCTGCCAACCACGCTGTCCGTATTGTGTCGCTCTTGGAAGGTGCGGACCTCGAATGAGGCGAGGAGAGCGATTCAAAATAGCTTTCCTCTGAAAGGCAACCGCATCTCCACCTTCGCTGGGCAGCTGGGTGTTGCGGGCCGCGGTGGTGACGGAGGCCATGTTTGAACTCTCTAGGTGGCCGTGTCCCCGTTCCTGGGTTGGAGAGTTGGAGAGGCCCAGCGGTTACGGCGACACTCAGCGGGCCGGCTGGCCTGGCACTAGGACAAACCCACCTCTTCGTCTCCGACCAAGGCCCTTGAAACGTGCAAGAAAATTCCCGAGCTTCACCGCGGATTCAGTTTGTGCACAGGAAACCACGCCGTGCGAGCGGTGGACTTGACCTCGGGGCGCCTCGGTGTTGCTGAAAGTTAGTTTCGCGCTGTGAGAAGACATCCTGGACTCCCAGCTTATATCCGTCGTCCTAGGATCATCACGACCGTTGCCGGGATGCCAGGATCGCATGGTGACGTAGCTTGCCTTGCGTCAATCTCTGAATGCTCTGATGTCTCTGACATGTCTTTGACGTATCTTTGCGGTGTCGGACATTGCAGCCCAGGCAGGGGACCAGGGCTTGGCGACCAGCGCGCGGCTGGACTCGCCGGCAGGTTTGGCCCACGGCTCGAACCTGTTGTGCCCTGCCTCGCTTCGCGCGGTCTCGTGGTCCGCCTACCTTCTCGCTTGATGTCTGTGGAACTGACGAGGTACATAGCAGATTCTGGGAACGGCCGGGTGCGAGTCCTTGACACTGGGCCTCCCGGTCTTGATCAAGCGTTCTCGAGGCTGTCCTCCGTTCGGTTTGGAATCTGGTTTCAGGTCTGGCATACTGTCTGCTGTGCCGGGAGCGCGGTCACTGCGGCCGCAGGGCCTCGCACTAGACGAGGCTGGGGAGGAAATGCCGAAGGGCGACATGTCCCCGTGGTTGCTTACAATCTTGCATTCTCCAATCTTGAAGTCTGTTTTGTAAGTCTTATGTATATATATATATGTATATATTCCTAAAGTAGCAGCAGCAACAGACCCGAGCAGCTTCAACACCAGCTTCCCTTAGAAGACTCCGGGTTGATCGTGACGTAGGGCGAATGTGAGGCGATGGTTTCTTCGTTTCTTATAAACTGTTTGTACGTTCATACATATTTTGATGCGTGTTTAGTTATGTACATATACTGCTGCTGCTGCTGCTGCAGCTGCTGCTGCTGATGAGAACTGTGATTACATGAAGTATTCCTTCTTGTGAATTGTTCTTTTCTTCTTTCTATCACGATGATCATGGCCATCATCTTCATATTTACCAGTGTAAAGACTGTCCTTGTTAGTGTTGAACATGGTCAGTCATCCTGTTGCTGCTCCTACTGTTACGATAATGGCTAGGCTAGTATGATTGATGCTATTGGTTGGTGATGGAAATATTTGTAAAGGCTGCGGCTACGACGCACAATTACTGTGGCTATTGCTTTTGCTGGTGCTTTCATCATCAGTAGTAATATCAAACATCCAGTTCTCATCCCACACAGAGCCCGCTCTCGGAAAGGGCTGTTGCGTGATATCACTATCATTATTATTGACAGTTGTGTAGTTCTTGTTGTCGATGGATGAAGAGAATGTTTTAATCGAGCACAGTTAAGACTTTACGCAGGGTCAAACTTGCGCCTATACCAAGCGGCAATTTCAGTATTTTTGTTATAGTCATGAATTCATGAATTGTCTTACTATTATGTCTACGATGATTCTCCCATGATCACCATTGTTCTTGTTACTGTCGTTAGTTACTGCTGTTCTTGTGTTTTGCTGTTCGTACGCTTACTGCTAGAACAGCAGTATTTATTGAGATGGCAACCATTGCTACTGTTACGGCTGTTACAAAAAATCGTTGTTACCAATATCGCTGTTGTCACGCACACAAACGTGCAAAACATTTTGCTTGTCTTATTACTCTTACTTGTATTACAATCACTTTCACATTGTGCCGGGAATTGAGGGTCACTGTTTGTTAACAAGATTTTGGTAATCTTGGTAATCTTGCACATCTTGGCGGGGGTCGCGGCAAACCAAGATGTTGCCGATCTTGTAATCTTGGTGAGTGGGGAGGGGTGGGGCAAGTTTACAATCTTGCCTAACTCGAAATCTTGGCATTCTTGACTTTCGAGTATTTCCTAAGCTGGAGGAGGGGCGCAGTAATCTTGCACCACTTGCACTCTTGTACCATCTGCACCACTTGCACCATGCGCGCTTCCTTTGCAACCGACATCAAGATAACCAAGACGAAAAAGATCAGATTCCTCGCCCCCTTCCCCGAGGGTTTAGGGTTTGGGTTTTTCGGTTTAGGGTTTTGGGTTGGGAGCGCCCCGCACGTGCGGTTTACGCGTTTAGGGTTTGGGTTTAGGGTTGGTAGCTACTAGTTGTAACTGTAGGGTTTTTAGGGTTTGGGGTGCGGGGTTTTACGGTTTAGGGTTTAGGCTGTTGGGGGTTTACGGTTTAGGGTTTACGGTTTAGGGTCTAGCGTTTTTGGGTTTTATGGGGTTAGGGTTTAGGGTTTGTGTGGTATAACTAAAAAGAGTGATTGTAGGGTTTAGGGTTTGTGGGGTTGGGGTTGGAGTTTGCAGGTTTAGGGTGTACACTTTGGCTGGCTTGTCGGGTTCAGGGATTGGGGTTTTGCACTTTAAGGTTTAGGCTTTTCGGATTTTATTCAGTTTTTTATCAGTATTCGAATCATAGGGTTTACGGTTTTAGGGTTTTACGGTTTATGGTTTAGGCTGTTGGGGTTTTAGGGTTTGGGGTTTAAGGTTTAGGGTTATGCTCCCTCGGCGCGTGTGGCCGGCGCGAGCGCCGTTTACAGGTTTAGGGTTAGGGTTTAGTTGTAGTTAGTTATAATTAGTATGAGCATTAACTGATATTGCAGGGCTTAGGGTTTTAAGGTTGATTGGGCTGTTGGGGTTTTACGGTTTAGGGTTACGGTAGACGGGTTTAGGGACAAGATTTGGGGTTTGTGGTGACTACGATTAGTATTCGTATTAGGTTTTGTAATCAGTACTGCTATGATTATATCGGGTTCAGGGTGTTAAGGGTTTGGCGTCTTGCAGCTTAGGGTCTAGGTGTTGGGGTTTCACGGTTTAGGGTCACGTGAGCCCGGAGCGCAGGTAGGCCGCGGCTGGGTGGGTTACTTGGTGGTTTGGGGGGAGGGGGGAATAGGGTAATCTTGGCTTTCTTAGTATCTTGGTATTCGTGCTGATCTTGATGTATGTGTGGCAAATTGGAGGCGCGCAGCTGGTGCAAGTGGGGCAAGTGCCACAACTAGTGCAAGTGGTTCAAGTGGTGCAAGTTCAAAGGTTGCAGGTGGTTCAAGGGGTTCAAGTGGTGCAAGGTTGCAAGATCACAAGCTTGTCGGTCCCATCCCCACCTTGTCGACTCTGGACCCCGATTGCCAAGGCTGCAGGCGCAATCTTGCCCCTCCCGCCTGGGGCGAACAAACATTGGGCTCACCGAGATGACCAAGTTTGCAGTACATGCTTGCTGAAAAGTCCGCCCTCGTTTCCCGGCACACAGAATACTTATACTACTTTTACGGTTATTACATGGTATACAACTGTTATCATTATTGCGATTATTACCAGTACCATCAGTACTAGATTGTTATTACTATTAGTACTATTATGACTGTTATCAGTGTCTTGACCGTTATTACCACTCTTGCGGGTTGTTGCGAGTGCTACTGTAGCATGATTACTACTAGGCCAATTATCGCTCATATTCCGATGGTTTTTCGGCTACTTATTAGTGTTATTCGTGCAATTATTACCTTTTTTTGTTATTTGCATTACTACGATTGCCATTACTACCAGTATTTTTTGTTGCTCTCGTTGCTCTTATTGCTCTTATGGCTTTATTACTAGCATTGCTATTACTAGTTTACAGTTTTTCCGATCAATACTCAGTAGTAGTATTACTATGACTCTTGTATTATTGCTATTTTGGAATTACTACTACTGTTAGTATGATTACTATTCATATTACGATTATTGCTATTATTGCTATTATTGATTTCTATCTTTGCAGTATTCTTATTATTATTACTGCAATCATTGCTGTTTTACTATTGCTATTTTCAATATTATTTCTATTAATTAGAGGTTTAGGCGTTTTAGGTAGTGCAGTTTTTTGGTAGCTTTTCCTATTAATACGATTGTTTTTAACATGGTTTTTCGTATTATTACTACTTTTGCGATTGTTACT